CCCACTGACCCTTGGTTATTTGTCATAAACTGATTCACCCCAGACCCAGACCCTAATTGTGGTGATGAATTCGATGTGGAATTGTGTAAACCTGCCATAAAATATGTTGGCATTCCATAAGAGGAATTTCCGGTTCTATTACCATCGAAACCGGGTGGTCTAGTTAGTGGGGTGGCGAAATGGGTTTGTGTCCCTGATGGTGGAACGAATCCCCCAGGATAACCAATGGTTCCAGTATTTCCTAAGATCGAACTATTAGTTGATATGCCACTTACTCCATTAGTGGCTATATTACTGTTAGAAGATGCAACAGACTGTGCATTCGAAGGGATCACATTAGACGTTCCCATCGAAGCGGACATATTAGTGCCTGTTGTATGTGGGGCATTTTGGTCCCCTTGTTGATTGTCAGAATTAGACATCTTGTTCAAACGTTTTCTTCTGGATAAGGGTTGGTTGCTGTTGGTTATTTTACCACTTCTTAGGTTCATAAAACAACAAACTTATCACTCAGAGGGTATTTTTATAATGGTTACGTCTCAACAATCTTTATTTCTGTTCTAAATTCTGTAATGTCCAACGATTGGTCCCACCAGGTGTGCCAATTTGTTTACAGTGATTTCTGGTAAACAACCGCTAGTCCTCCAAACTATCGAATAAACTTACTGACTGTTATTCAATTTCTCTGGTAACTCGCAGGATCGACTAGATTGATCCTAGGACGTGTTGGTTATTAGGGTAACTCTCATGATCGAACTGGTATTCATGGTTGGTATTTAGAATGTTGTGTAGGTGTTTAACTTATTTCGATTTCTCTATTAAAGATCTAAAGGTGTGATCAAATAAATGTGCGCGAAACTAAATTGCATGAATAAAGGTCAATTGTAAAGACATGTAAAAACTGCATAAAAGACAAATAAATGACTTCGAATCATAAAAACGGTTAATGTAAAAGATTCGAAATATGAAGAAAGCGTTTAAATGCAAGAAAACTGTAAAATGACTTTAAGTGAAAAAGGTGTTCGAATGATAAAAACTTGAAGATAAAGGCATGAAATGTATAACAGTCTCTGAAATGTAAAGTATTTGAAATGGAAAGAAAACATTTAAATGTAAAGCATCAGTGAAAAGATTTCGAATGAAAACACTTTAAATGTAAAAACTTGTAAATGGTATTGACATAAAGATAAAGGAAAGTACTGGAAATGATAAAGAGTTTTCATTAAATCATAAACATGTGGTGTTATCATACGTACATTGCTCTTGCATTCGTTTCCCTAGCCATGTGGTAATTTGAATGTTTACTGAGTTTTTTTTTGTACAATAGATATGACACACGAAATCCTAATGCTAAGACTTCTATTTATACTACTTTGACCATAACAGTCTTGCTATAAGATTCTTCCACGTTCAGAACATGCAGAGCAATGCCTCTCTCTTGCTTCCACGCGTCTTCGAATGCTCCAGCGCATATATTTCAAATTTCGAACATCCCGCTTGCATTTGAATTTCAAATGTTTTGGCACTTCTTCGTTTCGAACGCATTTCTTAGACACAGCCTTGTTATCATTTCGAGACTTCTTTGGATATATTCTCATAACTGTCACTCGAAGCTCCAAGCTTTGATATGCCCATTCGAAGCACTGCTTCTACCATTTCGAAACATGACGTTTTGTTTCATTTCAATCGAAACGTCCAATTTACTTTGCTTCTAATAATATCATCAAAATCTTCAGCCAACATGAGGTTGGGGAACAAATTAGAAGGATCCAGAGACGAAGAACAACCACCTCACTTGCAACTGGAAGACCTAATTTCTGGTTGGAGGAAGCCAGAATAGACAGAGACGTAATGATGATGATGCATGGCTCACATGAAATTGTTTTGACGGTTGTAATTTTTAGACGTTTTATCGTGTTTTTATTTGTTGTTTGTGAATGGTTTGTTGTAACAAATGCTCTTAATGAAAAACAGTAATGTTTATAACTTAAAAAAGTGCAGATGGTTTGCATACAATTTTTATATTGTAGAGCTTGTAGCTCGAGCGGGACAATTTTTTCGATTGTGTCCGACCTGACGATATAAACCACACTTTCTTTCTAGCTTGTCAAGGGAGTCCATTTCAGTTGTGATACGCTTGCTTTTGAGACAACCCTTATTATTCCTTCGTATTTGATTGTTGTGCCATACTATTTCCCCGTCGTTATGTATTTAAGTTTGCTTAGGAACTTTGAAAAAACAAGAAAGTATAGTTAGGATTCTGTTGTTTTAGCCCATCTATACAGTTCTTTGTGTAAAAATACAACAAAGGAAAAATATACTTTTTATGGATGTGCTTTCTTACTCCAAGCCCGGGGTTGGTGGAGAATGGAGTCCCTAAACCCCGTCAACAACAACACATTCATTTTCCCATACGCAACAAAGTAAGTCAAGAACTTAAAATTATTCATCCTTTCGCCAAATATATGTTTAAAATAAACTATTTTACAATTCCTTTAGGTACAACGTGACGGGTATGGATTACGGCAAGAATCCAAGATTCAATATCGCTCTATATCGTAATATATCGGATCACCTTGTCCCGGATAATGTATGTGTTACCTTTGAACTTTTCTACTTTTAAATTATTTATTTCTTACGTTTTCATTATGCTGATTTAATTTTATCTACAATTTATCTAGAGACCATATTTGGGTTTGGACCATGAACCAAATCCCGAGGATGCAGCAGTTTGGACTGCAAAGATTACAATCATACGGTTCAACATTATGGAGATGTACCACAGCGACCGTGTCAAGATGCAGTTCGAAATGCATCAAGAGATACCATGCAATTTAACTTGTTTGTCTCCCTGGCATCTCAAAAGGGTCAACGCCCAATGGGGTCTTACTAATTGGAAAGATTTTGCTCCATAATGGTGTAAGATGTGGCATAAGCGTCACCAACATGTCTTGCAATTCCTTGTTTTCCTCAACCAGAATAATATGTGACACACGGATCAATATTTTGCTTGGTAAAAATTGGTTAGTAACCTAAAATGCACGTGTCTCATCTGAAGTATTTGGTTGATCCACAAACACAATGGGCACAAACCTCAAATCCCCAATAACAAACCCGACACACATTAACCTCCCCCAAACCACCACGATGATACATATCCACAACCATCCAACCATAATCACCATCTCAATACGAATACACCCATATGCCCCACACCCAACCACAATCACCACCTCAATACCAATACCCCCATATACCCCACACTCAATCCCAATCTCAATCGCAATACCAATACACTCATATGCCCCACACGCAATTACAGTCTTCTCCATATCCCAATGCGGGCCCCTCATCATCTCACCTTAGCCATGATCTGGGATTTCCCAAAGAATATAACCCAACCGACCATCAACCACCATATCACCATAGCACCCAACAATCACAATACCAAACACATCAAGATTCATTTCCTTTTTACCCCCTTTACTCAGACTACCAATGCTATAAACCATTCATAGAACCCCACCCCCCACCAAGATAATCAAACTTTGAGGGCATGTATAACCGACTGTACCAAAGCGGATCTTCTAGATATGGTGATCTGACCGATTTCATGGATCCTGAACGCATTGAATTTGCTGGGCCATCGACCCAACCGCAGCAGGAAAATCGATGAAACCCACCACGAGATAGGTGAGGACGTGGATGCGGAACCACAAGTCGTTACCAAGTTCTGAGGGACAAGTAATTAATTTGTATGTTTTTTTCATTATGTAATCGTTTTTTGTTAATGAAAAGTCGAAGTTTCGTGAAGCTATATCGTTTATCTATTGTCTCACATTTAAAATAGAAAACAAAAAAAATTGCATATCAATTGCACCTAGGCGCCATCTGAGATGCCTTAGGAAAAATATGTTGCACCTAGGCGCCATCTCACTTGGCGTCTCCTTCTTAATTTTAGGTGTATGCACCAACTTAGTTGACTCCTCTATTGTGGAGTTTTCTGAAACATGATTATTTGCGTAATTTTTTTTCGAAATATGATTATTTATGTATTTTATTTTCAATACTTAGTTATTGCTAAAAAAAATTCTAGATTTAAAGTCCTTGCATTGTAATCAAACTGATTTGCCTTTTAATTGAAGAAGCTATTTTATCGTTCTAACCTAGTTAAAATGTATATCTTTATAATAAAAAAATCATTAAAATATTATATCATATAACTAATATTTATTCTTTAATAGACATACATAGTTAATGTAAAATTATTTTACTCCGTCGTTCATTAAAAAAATCATAAATATATTAAAATGACATGGTGGAATGTGCGTTATTCATTGGATGACGGTGTAAAATAATTTTACACCGTTAGTGTATTTTCTATTTTCTCTATTTATAATATAATATAAAATTAAATATATTTGCGATACTTTTAAATATTTTATATTTCACTTTCATCTTTTAAAATATTTTCTTCAAAGAATAATATTTTTAAAACTGTCACTAATTCTATTGTTAAATTACAAAAGAGACCAGTGTAATTAAAATTTTTAGAAGGAATATAATCATATTTAACTTTATAATATAAATAACAAAGTAACAATCATTTTCATAATAACATATTCTATAACAATGTTTCTATAGGTGGGGGGGACTACAGTCCACCTTTGCCACCCCATATCCATCCCTGACCCATTACACTCACCAGATATTTCCTCAAAAGAAATAGAAAAAAACTTGTCAATAAAAACAATTTGGTGTAGGTTTAACCACGTCTACTATATATCATGCCACCTTTCATTATGCTCTAATAAATTATTAGTCCAACTATAACATATTCTTTCCCTATAAGATTCATTACTAATCCTATACTATGCTATCTATCTTTCTTTCCTCTATTGTGTACCTATATAAATACATATCTATGCCTTCAAGTTTAATACTCAAAACAACCATACAAACAAGAACAAAAAAAACCAATATACCAACCACTTTGTGAAATGGCCCCTCAAGTAGACCTTTCTATTGCTAAGATTGGATATGAGATTGAAAAATTCTTTGGCAGACAGAAAAGTTTTGGCAATAATACTAATCCACCAGCAACTCAAAATCTTTGCCAGTACAAATTTTATCCAAGCTATGGAGCTACTACTATTACCAAAAATGTAGAAGAGCTCACTTGCAATGAAGCAGCTGCAAAGTTCATACCAGAAAAGAGAGCAGATCAGTTGCATGCTAAAAGCTTGGTTGGACGATGATGATCCAAGACTAATTCATGATGCACTCTTTATTGTACTCTAGATTTAGAACTCTTGTTTAGTTGTATAACTTTTTTTCCTTTTTTTTGAGGTTTCAAAGTTAATGGTTTACTAATTTAGAAATCGTCTTCGGCAGTAAACTTCATGTAATCCTCGTCGTAGTTTTAAATTGCGGTCTGTAACTGTAATCTCGATCGTGATATAAGAGTTTTAGAGGATTGCAACAACATCACAATATGAAAGTTTGCGGTGTAAATATAACCGCAATTTAGAATCATGTATGCTAACTCTTGTAGTATATATGAAATACATTTGTGTAAGTCAGCTCGAAGATTAACATGAATTTGTCGAAAGTCTTCTGCAGCTTTTTTACCTTGTGCTGTTTCATTCAAAATATATGTAAAGAGTTAATATGTACTATCTGCTATAAGCACTTTTTTTGTCCTAATATTCATAACTCTTTTTTGGTGTGATTTTTATGTAGTAGTATACTACAAACATGTTACAAATCATGGCTTTAAAGTTTGAAATAATGAATTAATTTCCAAGGCTATCATTTGTGATCTTGTATAAAATTTAATCAAGTTTTATGGGTTGCAACTTAAATTTACGAAGTTGGTGTCGAATTAGTCCTTTCCAAAAACCGAATTGAGATTAAAAAATAAAAAGAATTTAAAGACTTAGCACAAAAAAAAATTCCTAAAGAAAATGACTTGTATAGAATAATTTGATAGACAAAGACAGATTAAATATGAAAATATTCTCTGCTAATTTCAGAAAGCCATTGATAGAATAATTCAGGTATTGTGGTGACAGCATATTATTTTTCCACCATAAGTGTGAATGGTGGGACAAGTTTTATATTTTTATTTTATCCTTTATTCTAATGGAATGTGGTAGCTAGAGAAAATATAGGAGAAGATATTGGAAGAGCAAGAATTTAGGAGTTAAAATTAATAGTAAATTTTTTGGATTAACCACAGATTTAGATGCTAAAAAATAGAAATCAATGTTAACCATTTATTTTACCATAAAAGATGATATATGAAATACACATGCAGAAAAAAGAAGGATCATTTTAATTCTTCACCACTTTTTTCTCTTAAATATTTTTTTTATTGTGAAAAAAACAAAGAAAAAAAATACAAAAAATTATTTTGAAAATTGTTATTCAATGGCCACTGCCAAAAAAGTTTCTGTTTTAATTTTATGGTTTGCATTAGTTTGTAATTATGTTGATGCTGTTGGTCTAAGAAAAAGGCCAGTTGCTGGTCCTGATATCTACAAAGGTAAAAATGTAGCCAAAGATGCTCTTGCTCCTGGTGAGAAAGTTGTTAATGTGATGAGTTTTGGAGCAAAACCAGATGGAAAATTTGATTGCACTGAGGTAGATTATACAATATAGTTATTATATATTTTGGTTAATTATTTGGCTAATCATGTTGAGTTATGCTTTGAATAAAATATTTGCAGATAGTGTTTTTATTATTCTAAGTTGATAAATTTGTAACTTTAGAAAAATTGACATTTTATTCTTTAGTATATAGGTAAGTATTTTGTTAATGCTTTGTTCAAATAATTGATTTGAGAGAGTTTGAATATCAAATTTTCGTCTTTTCGCCATTTATCGTGATATAATGTAGACAAAAAACATCATGATTAGACTAATTTGCATCATGGAATCAAATGCTGTTAGATTAAAACTTCAAAGTTTGAAAGCTGAGAAAATGTAGACGAGGAAACTGATATTCTCAGGCCTTTTATTTCATCTCATTAAAGCGATTTTTAAGAAAAGCGGGTTGCAAGAGGATAATATATATACCTTGTGTGTTCGACAAGTTTTCTAGAGATTAGTCTTTGCTAAACCGCGGTGGAAACTCTTTAGAAATGTTCTGGAGCAATGAATCGAACCCAAAATTACCTATTGAAACACGATTCTTGCATGACCTCACGAATGTATGTTCAATATTTGATTCGTGCAGATATGAGATGCGATATTGACATATGTGATTACTTTCAATCATTTTTATTTTCTTACTCGGTATTCGAAACCATAAACGGGCCTTATTTGGTTGCCTGCAGGCTTTCATGGACGCATGGAGAGCCACCTGCCATACCAACGTACAATCCAGGCTTCTAGTCCCTCAAGGCATATTCCTTGTTTCGACAATGTTCTTTGCAGGCCCATGTGAAACTCCTGGGCCTGTAACAATTCAAGTTGTTGGTACAGTTTTAGCCACATCAGACATTAGCGAGTACGTGAATGGCGAATGGCTCATGTTTCGCGACATAGCAGGCATTAAGCTTATCGGTGGAGGTATCTTCGATGGACAAGGTAAATCTACATGGGAATTTGCTCAAAATTGTGAAACTGATCCAACTGACCAATGTGTTAGGTCTCCTAGTAGCATTTATTTCAATAATGTTACAAATGGACTTATTCAGAACATAAAATCGGTAAATCCAAAAGGGTTTCACTTTTTTGTTACTAACTCCGCAAACATTAGACTTCGATTACTTAAGCTCAACGCGCCAGCTACTAGCCCGAATACCGATGGTCTTCATGTAAGTCATTCAATAAATGTGAAAATATCAAGAAGTACTATCGAAACGGGAGATGATTGCGTCTCCATGATTCAAGGAGTTAACAATGTAAGCATCACAAGAATCAAGTGTGGTCCAGGACACGGTATCAGGTAATAATCTAAATCACAATCTATATTTTTATTAAATAATTCATATATCTGGTCTATATATACACTAAATACATCTGTCATCAACTATTCAATAAATTTAAAAAGAGAATATTTGCTTACAGTATTGGAAGTCTTGGAAAATATCCAGATGAGCTAGAGGTGAAAGGTGTTCGAGTAATGAGGAGCACATTAACGGGCACAGACAATGGTATAAGAATCAAAACATGGCCAGATAAGTATCGAGGAGCAGCATCACAAATCACTTTCAGTAACATCAGTATGGAAAATGTTAAAAATCCTATCATCATTGACCAAGAGTATGAATGTCAACCAAACTGTCAAAAAAAGGTGTGTAAATATCTTCATATTTTGAAGTAGAGCATAGTAAACTTTAGACACTAATTAAATATTCTTGTTGATGCAGCCTTCACTTGTAAAGATAAGTGATATAATTTTTAAAAATATAAAAGGAACAACAACTTCTCCAATTGCAGTCGATTTGAGATGTAGCAAGCAATTTCCTTGCCAAAATGTTAGACTTCAAAACATAGACCTTTCACATGGTGCAACTCCTGCTGGCTCTAGATGTGCCAATATCAAACCTATCTATGTTGGCTTGCAAAAACCACCACCTTGTCCATAGGTCACACCATTTTCTACCACAAAACATGTCTCTATCACTCAATGGCATAATTAGAGACTCTCATAATTTATAGAACGTAGTGTCTGTTTTGGTTTGGTGTTTGAGCAACCAAACACACGTCTAACTGTTCTCCTAACGTGATTTCAAAAAGTTTCAAAAGGTAGCTTATGTGTTAACGTGAAAATCCAACATACTTTTGGCTTTTGTAACGTGTATCCAAACAATAGTTTGTTTTATTTTTAGTTAGGTTTGATTTATGTTTTAGTTTATCTCGGTGTAAGGATCTATTAAGCAAAGTGTGTTAGGTCTAGAAGTTTTTGTATTTAAACAAACTATCTATTGTATTGTAACACAACTTTGTAATATGTTATAAAATATTTTTAATATGGTATTATGAGTTTCATTTTTTTGGGGTAAAGTCATGTGATCGATATATTTCATCCTTTTATTAATGACTTGTATCTTTTCACTTTTCGCATCATAACTTGATTACTTTGACATTATAATTCTCCAATTTTGTTTATAATCTTGACAAACACATTATTGTAAGATAGCCATAGGCAATTCCCTCTTATCGCCAATAAGAGCCTTAAAAAGATTGTGCATTGTTGGAAAGTTAGCCACACCAAATACTGTGAGAGCAATTCAGACAAAAAGTCTTCTCAACGACAAATTTACTCAATCTATATTGCAGAATTGTCCCAGGAGCGGAGAGAGCCCATTTTGACGGGTTCAAATGAACCACTTAAACAACAACAATGAGGTTTTAGTTTAATACCCCCACATTTGAACTTGGCACTCCCCTAAAGTGTATGCAAATACTAAAATATCTCAACTAAAATTTTCACAAACTTTCGAAAATTTCAGGACAACACCAAGAATTTGAAAGTTACAAGGTGATATCGGAGATTTCGTAAAATAATAAGAAATTTATGATATTTCTTCAAAATTTTCGATATATTGTCACAGAAATTTAGAAATTTCCGATATTCCGTATCAGAAATTTGGAAATTTTCGGTTATTTTATTACATTTTATATCAGAAATTTTAAAATTTCCGGCTGCTCACTTTGTGTACCGGAAATTTTGAAATTTCCGGTAGTTTAATTTTTTTGGAAAAATACCAAAATTTCCGACAGTTCATTTTTTTTTCCTAATTTGTTTAAGTGAGTTTTTTTTTCCTAATTTGTTTAAGTGAGGACCAAGAGCAAAGAAAGTATCATTGTAGGCAGGCTAACTGATAGAACGGAAGCTCAGACCCGGACTGATGAGGCATAAGCTTCCGAGCTATGGGCAGGACGACGTGCTATGACCAACTCTCATCGAAAATAATTGGCTAAGCAGCAGGCGCAATTTCGTGCACCCCGACGGCAGACTACTACAGTCTCTACTGCTGAAGAGGTACATGATATTGTGGAGTTACCTGCTCATGTGGAGGCACATGCTCATGTGGATGTGTCTGCTCCTGTGATTGAGTAGATTATTGTGGAGCCGACTGTAACACCCTTCTAAACCTCAAAGAATATTTGCAAAATAATACAATAATTAAATCAGAGTAATGCACCAAAAGAGTGTCACATTGCTTCAAACAAACTTCATAATAAAACACATCCTGTTCCGTAACACGGGTTTTCAAAAATCAATCACGTTAAGTACTTAATG